CTTAATTTGCACTTCTGTTGCATGATTTCACTATTTGCACTTCTGGTGCAGCGCTAGTATAGTGTTAAAATCGGAAGACAGCGACGTGACCAACTGCGGGACCTCCTCACGAGATGGTGATCCGCTTAGGAAGCTGCTCGGCGGTCTGGCGCGGGAAGGTAACCGTCAAGACACCGTTCTCCATCGAGGCCTTGATATCCTCGGGCTATATCAAATAGAATTGAGTTCGTTGAACTGCGCTACCAAGTGCCAGGCGAAAACGGCTTACCTTGATGCCCTGAGGGACGGGCAGCGAGCGCGAGAAGCGGCCAAAGCGGCGCTCGCGGAGGACGTACCCGTTCTCCTTGCGATCCTCGTTCTCGAACCTCGACTCGCCCGAGATGGTGAGGCGGTTATTGTGGACGTCGATGCTCACGTCCTGCTTGTAGATGCCCGGGAGCTCGAACGTCGCGGTGACGAGGTTCTTCTCCTTGTCCTCGTGAATGTCAACCCTGCAACGCCTCCGTGTCAGCTTCTGTGCTCAAATTCACTAAGAGATAAGGAGGAGGATGCGCTTACCTTGGGCGGAGGACGGGCGGGGCCTGGTTCTGGCTGTCCTGCTGACGTTGGACAGCTTGGCCCGGGTTCGCGCCGGTGCCGTTGGTGCGACGGGCGAAGGCATCGTCGAAGAGGCGGTCGAACTCGGAGAAGGGGTCGTTGTTGAAGAAGTTGAAAAGCGACATTGCGGTAATGATATAGGGAGAAGAGCGCGGTAAGATGCTAGTGTTTGTGTTACTCGATTGTCGTGAAAATGCAGATTGGGGATGCCCAGCTGCTGAAGTCCACTTTAATATCCATACTGGTAGCACGAGTCCTGAGGACGTTGGATAGTTTTAGTATTGAGTCGCGGTGACAAGAACTGTCTAGTAAGAATCAGAATGGGTCAGCGCCACAAGGGCAGCTGTGCGACGGATTGTCGCAACGAGTCGAGACTTTGCGAGAACAGTCTAGTACAGGCGCCCGTGAGGGCTTTCAGTGACGAATGCGGAAGGTTGACCAAATAAGCGTCATCTCCGGCACCCGGCAACGTCTCTGCCGGCTTGCCACGCTGCAGCCTCCAGCGACCCGCACCCCGTTTGCAACCTCCGCAACGTTCAAATGGGCTCAGGCGATTCGCGAACGACATTCTCCAGATATCGATGTAATCTTCCGGTTCGTGCTACGGTGCTGTATCCCTTTTCTTTCAGACTGCACCGTTCGAATCAAATGACATGCCTTGGCGACACCTCGACACGCGGCGCTGCTACGAAGTCCTGTAAGACGTACGACAGTTTCTACGATGTTCGTTGTCGGTGAATGCTCGTCACATATGACGCCATCATTCAGGGACGTGCCACGCAGTGAACAGTCTGGAACTTAGCATCGTCAAGTACGGATCCCCGCTCTGTTTCTGGAACTTTCAGTGTTTGGATCATCTGGCCGCCTCAGGAGCAGATAAATAGCCCTCGTATCTCCCCCATGGTCCCCATAGACGAATTCGACTTCAGCAGCAGTAACAGTTCTCTCACCTTACGACCCTTTACGACTTTCACGACTCGACATGGCGCTTACCTTCTTCACCGAGCCTTTCTACTCCCTCTCCGACTTCGACCGTCTCTTCGATGAGGCGTTCAACGCCCGCGCGTTCTCACCATCGCTCACACAGCGCGGCCAGAACGAGAACTCTGTGTCCAGGCCCCTCCGACCTAGGTAGGTAGCTGAAGTGCCGCTAGGTCGTCGTGCCTTGGACGCTGACAGTAACGTCTGTAGGATGGACCTGCACGAGGACAAGGAGAAGAACCTCGTGACAGCTACCTTCGAGCTTCCCGGCCTCACCAAGGAGAACGTCAGCATCGACGTCCGGGATAGCGTTCTCAACGTCTCCGGAGAGTCGATCATCTCCAGCGAGCACGACGAGCAGGGTTACGCTGTCCGCGAGCGGCGGTTCGGCAAGTTCTCCAGATCGTTGCCATTACCCCAGGGTATCAAGGTAAGCTATTTGCATGCTCAACCATAGGGAGGACATGAATAGTGACGTCGAATGCGCAGCCCGAGGAGATCAAGGCGACGATGGAGAACGGTGTTCTGACGGTGACGTTCCCGCGGACGACACCTGAGCAGGCCCCGAAGAAGATCACGATCGCTTGAGGCCTGTTCGTTTCGTTTTGTGACACGCTTCGTTCTGTTTTGTCACCTTGTCGTATTGTACTTGCTGGTGCAATTTGAATCTCGTTTCCGGTACATACTTTTGGTTGCAAGACCAAAGGACGTCGTACAGTTGACAGTCTTGAACCCCTAGTGATATTATGGGAAACAATTGCTAATCCACGTCGGAAAATAGTGCAGCCTCGCAGCCAAGTTCAGAATAGGTTGCGATTGACGTCTATCGAAGTCGGCCCTCTATATATTGGGCTCGAATCATGGCAGTCATGGCGATATGAAGCTCGTCTTGCGCAAGAATTGCGATGTGGCAAACCTGAATCTGTAGAAGAGGCACCCTAGGCGCCGAACATCGCGGCCATTGCTTCGCAATGGCCCGGGCCATATTCTGGGAACGGTCTGAAATGGCTCTCTCTAGTCGTGGCGGAATCGCTTTGGAGATGCTAGTATCTTTTCTCACATCTACGTACGGGCTGATTGAAATAATTAAGTAATTTGAGTCCCCTTGGCCGGCCATCCCTCGTGCCTCGTGTGAGTTCCGTCTGCCAACAGCAGTTCCATCATGTCCCCGGCTATTGATCTCAGCGACCACCAGACATCCTAGTTGATCTACTTCATCTATTGGGCTCTGTTCTCGGATCTCCCCACCAGATTTTGGCAGGCTCTCGTAGTGTCTGTATGTTACATATCCACATCCCTGCAGATGGTTGAGACAATTCCTCTTCCCCACTCTATCTCGGACTGCCGGCAGCCCACAATGTCAGATACTTCGCCTCCTTTTGTTCTTCAACAAACCGTTGAAGGGGGACTGAAGTTTCTGATGCTCGGGACTGTACTCTCTTCTTTCTTGATACCAATAGCAATCATGCTATTTTACTTCTCGACAGCTCGTTTGAGACGACAACCTCTCTTCATCTTGAATTTTCTAGCTATCCTCCTAGGCATAGCTCAAGGCGTGCTCAATTTCTACAGCGCAGTAAGTCTACGTATGCTTCCTTCCTGTTATTCCACTTGGGAACCGGAGTATACTGAGAGGCAATGTTAGACAAGTGGAATGCTGCACAACGCGAACATTTCCACCCTGGATAGCGCACTTTGCGTTGCTCTTGATGTGTTTGTCCCGCTCTGCGCAGAGACAGTCCTCATCCTCAGAGTCTTGGCTGTCTACCCCCCTCGCCTCCTCCCTCGATTCCAATGCTTCATCTTGTATGGGTCGATAGTCCTTCTCAAGGTTGGGCGCGTTGTGAATGTGACGTACGTGATCTACCGGATGGTTCGGGGGCCTAGTGAGCAGGCGGCCCTGGTTCTGGCGGAGTTCGTTTGGCATTTGCCAAACGCGAAGCTGGAGTATATCCTACAGCTCGTAGACGACACGTAGGTCACAAGAGGCGGAATGCTGAATGTGAGATTCTGACCCCCGTCCATTTTCTCCAGGCTCGTTTCCGGTCTCTTTTTATACAAGATACACACGAAAACACATGAGGTTGCAAGCGATCGACACCATGAGTCTGGTATCCGACGTGCCCGGGGTGAGCGCCTCCGTTCCACACGGCTCATCGCTTTCCTTCTCCCCCCCAACTGACTGCGGCCGTGATGCCAGATATGTACCTCTTCCGACGCCTGAAGACTCTTTTCTGGATCTCTGTTTGCAACTTCGTTTTCCCCGTGGTCCTCAATGTCGTCCAGCTGGTGCTGATTTTGGGTAACGGCGAGTTCGAGCGTGGGATCCTCGTTCAATTGGTGAACAACTACATCACGATCATCGGCGTCCTCCTCGCTACCATCTGGGCATCCAGTTCTCAATGGCAGGAAGAAGAGGCGGCGTGATGAATGCCGAGGCAGGCTACACAACAGCCGCTCACTGCCTCACAGTCTGCACAGCCCTTGGATATGGGAGATTCACTGATCTGACAGCGGTAGAATTCTGCTCCTGCGTTGAATGATTCGTCATCTAGGATAGATGAGTGGATGTATGTTATTGCAGATCCTTCTGTATTTTCGGACATGACGGGAGTTCTCCTGCTTCAGATGGCAGCTCAGAGAAACTGTAGGAATTGCAGATAGGCAGGTTTCCTAAAGCATAGGCTCGAATGTCCCGTTCTCTATATGTGTCGAAATACAACGTCGACTCGTGAGTGATTGATGGGCAACCTGCGCCTGGATATGCGTACTTAACGCGGAGTAGAGCGGGGCATATCCTCTTCCGTAATATCACGGCTTCATCACTCCCTCCATATCGGTCATACAACCTCATGCCCGGCCAACACCGAGCCCCCTTCGAAGCTGGAATGATGATCATTTTTACCGCCTTGCAGTGCATGACCTAACTACGGCGACAGATGAGACGCGTACGTGTATTACCGGATTCAAGTGATTCGTCGGCTGATCTCCCTCTAGACAGATTCAGGTAGTAGTTATCGATAAACCTGATGTGTCTTCTGTTGGGACAGAGTATTACCATGTAAACCTCATGTTCTGCGACGGAGTGCTATAGATACAATGATTCATTTGCTGTTTGTATACTGCGGCTCGTGTTTTCACACAACGCGTACAGCCTCCCCAACCCTTCTGACCCATCTTCAAAATCTCTTTATAACCACAGCTCATACCATAGGTCTCCCTGATACTGCAGACCCCCCAGAAACGTCAGCCCTACCCGGATCACGGATGTCAATGTGCCCTACCGGACAAGGCGCATGTCGAGGTGAGTACAATTGTCAAAGATGAAGCGGGATAAGTTTCCCACTATCGGCACATACAACATACTAAACATACCTTTGGCGGCGTTTCCTTCTGAGTAGGCTTGACCCGCTGTGTAGGGCAGGATACCCCAGGAGTCCATAACACCTCAGGTACATTTACGATAATGCACCACCACACAATACACAATCTACTTACCGTCACACTGTTATGCATTCATCTCCATGCTACAGCTGGTTCAGAAAGTACTCGCACACCCGGCAATGATCCCTTAGCAATTACTACGCCGGATCCAGGCCCAAGTGAATGCGAGCCCGTCACCTTCACATGGTCCGGCGGACAACCCCCTTTCACACTCCAACTTCGTGATATGAGTAATACCATTCTACAAACATTCTGAAACCAACAATGCTCTTCACTTGACTGGGGTTATGTCAATATTACAGCTCATACAGAGCTCTACATCCTATTGACTGATGTGAGCGCCGACAACGTGACCTCCAACCCTTTCACAATTCAGCCCGATTCAAACTCGTGCGGGGTCAAGAGTGTTGGCGTGCAAGCGCCGACAAAGTCTCGAGAATGTTGGGTTTCGTACCTGAGCGCCTGCAGGTGCCTGCGCCCACATGGCGAGCTTATCGCCCGCCACCATCAGTCGCAGGCGCTCCCCGTCGCTCACTTATACCGACGTTCGTGTCGACCAGTGCCTCAGTCTTTTCCCCACTGAGGCACTGGTGAGCCCTCTAGATATTCTATGCTGTATGCCCATATGTACTGACCATGTCCTCGCCATGTAGATTACATTAGGTACCTAGTTATACAATACTCAGTCTTTTCCCCACTGAGGCACTGATTACATTAGATCCTACCGTAGTCGGCTCGTAACCCCGTCAATAAAGAGCCGTTCCTATACCTCTTCTGCAGGTACTGTTCAGGTTTCTAGGTTCAGACTCCTGCTGACCATAGGTTTACTGCGATCAAGTATCCTCCATGCCGGTGTTGTCTGTCCAGACAACTTCCATGAGCAGTACCACTATGCCTCCATCACCAGCCCAAACCATTAACAACTCTTCCGCCGTTGTTCTCCATAAGGGAGAGATTTTTGGGCTTGTTTTTGGTTGTCTTGCCTTCGTTCTTTTAGCTGTCAAAGTTGGCATCTGCGTTGTGCATAGGCATAGGAGACGCACAGAGTCGTCGAATACTCATGCGTCATATTCTCACAACCCGGGTGAGTCTGCACGCCTCGTCGTCAGTTGAAGGCTTACCGAATCGCTCTGGAAAAGATGCAGCATCCGTCTCTCCATCATCTACGAGCGCGTCCAGCGTATCTGAGCTGGAACCCGACGAGTTGCCTGTAGTCTGGAAACAGGAGTTGTTTGCTCGTAACCGCCGTCAAGAGCGATCTCTACTGCCCCTCTCCTTCCCAGCTGCTGTTCGACGACAAACTCGCATATCCGTGATGTCTTTCTTCTCCAGGAGATCCGGGGACAGCGTCAAGGAGAGCCTTGGAGCTTCCGGATGCAAGGAGATCTCCGGGAGCCAGACACGAGCCCTTCGTGATGCTCTGGGCCCGCATTCTTCCATACACAGTTCTCTACACGCCAGCGCGAACACGGGAAGCCGGGAAGAAGAATCGGAGATGGCGTCCTCGATCGCTTAAAGCGGCCATGATCACTCGTGAATTCATGCACCATGGCCATAATGCCATCTTAATGCTGGTCTCAAGAGTATTTGTACAAGGGAAGGATATTCCTGCAGAGGATTCATGATGCACTATGGCGATGAGAATACCCCTGACCTGGGAAACGGACCCATGAAAGTACTTACATAGGACTTAGTAGGACAGCATTGGACCTTGAATGCATACTTACATATTACTGACACTGCTCATAGACATTGTGTAAGCGGACAAAGACAGAATCATGTACATGCCTGAGTCGGAGATACGAGACTAGATTATGTGCTACAATTTCTGGACAGTGATGTATCCACTCCAATATATGCTATTAAATTCCTCCTGAATTTTACAGAATCCATCTTCGCTTGCCTGAGAATTTCGAGACGAAGCAACTCGACTGGGGAAGAAAAGAGGGTGTATTCTGGGACTATCGACTGTACAAGAGCTCTTCCCATTGAAACGATGCCGCAGGCAGTGGGGAGCGTTCATAGTGCTTGAATTCTGATTCAACTCTTATTTGAAGGGCCTCGATCCAGGGGCCCTAGCAGAAGTCATGTCTGTAGAAGGCTCAGTGATGGAATCCCAACGACCAAGTGCTTACAGCTGCCGCTGCAACTTTCGATATGGCGTCAATATTCATTTTTCAAATCCTATGCCGCTTGGATAGCTCAATCAAAGTCTCCGTCAAAATCGCATGCATCAAGGCAGCCTGCAACCATACGGACGTCATGAATGCTTCCTCCGTTGTTGAAACGACTCGGCATCAGGCTGTAAGCGCTAGAGTGTAAAAGAGTGCTGCTTGCTAGTGATAGGCCTGATATAAAGCTAACTGAAACTCTGCCGATGGCCATGGTACATTCCAGTCAAACCTTTATAGCCGTCTCCTAATAACGACGTTAAAGCCTCGCTGGATTAGCCTGACAGATGAGGCCTTTGCGCCCGCTCTGCATCGCCTCTGTCGGAGGAGCCAGAAGGCGTGAGAACTCCGGTTCATTCGATGTCGAAGGATCGTCTGTGGCGTCTGCTGCCGTGCATGCTTCTCCATTCATGCCTGTGCAGCTCCGAACCAGTGTTACGGAAGTCCACTGCTGGGTTCTCCGACGCAGGTTCAGCGGCACGGTAAAGGTCGTGGCGCGGTCTGTCCAGCTACAGTCATAACCATGTATATCTAAGTAATCTAATGGCTTATACGCGGTGAGTGCTCAGTCTGTACCAAGAGAGGCGATACGGGCGGCGACTGAGAGAACGGAGAAGTGTGTCTGATCTCCAGTCGTTCCCAGCATGCCTCCAGGAAGGTCGACCACACTCTTCTAACACCGGGCAATCTATCAAACTCAAGGACGGCCGTCACAGCGTATCCCAGCTCCTCAAAAACCATGTCATCTCCCTCCGATCCCCTCTATTCCCAGCACCATGGCCGTGATAGCGATCCCTCCGCTCTCGGTCGCCCTCCCGGAGATGCGAGATGGCCTGACTCTGCTGGTCGTGGGCACTGTCTTCGCCTCTTTTCTGATTCCGGCGGCGATCCTGCTCTTCTTCTTCACTCGGCCTAGTAGTTGGGGGAGCCCACTGGTTCTCCTCAATATATGCGCTATCGTCCTTGGCCTGGTGCAGCAAAGTATCTTCATCTATGTCATCGTGAGTTCGCACGCGTGCGCTCTCCCCTATAGTCGCAAGTGCTGATATGGACGTACCCAACAGATCAAAACGACGACTATTCAAGCCGTGCCGACAGGCATCGTCATCGTCATCACTGCCATGGAGTTCCTGCTCCCCATATGTGTGCAAGCAATCCTTCTCATTCGGCTTGCCGCCGTCTATCGCCCGAGAGACCTTGCTCCGAAACTGTGCCTCGCCATATACATCCCAGTCGTCGCGTTCAAGGTCGCGCGGCTGGTGAACGCCGGCATAACCGTCCAGTATCTGCTATCACATATGCCAAACGATGCTGGTGTCATCGTCGCTGCCCAGATTGTTTGGGGCACGAAGTACGTCAAGATCGAATGGTTTCTACAACTCTTCGATGACATGTACGTGAAGCTCTCCTGCATCGCTGGTTGTGCGTACGCTGACGTCCTGTCTAGGTTCGTCTCTGGACTGTTCGTCTATAGGCTTTACAGCCACATCAAGGACAAGAGTAGCGCACAAGGTACTGCCAACACCATGAGGTCTAACCACCATTACGTCTGACGCTAACATGTGTACGAAAGACTCCTGGGGCGACCGTTTCCGCACCCTCTTCTACATCTTCGTCTCCAACTTCATCTTCCCCATCATCTTCAACATTGCCGAAATCGCTGTCATCTTCTACGACACGAACTTCTTGCACGGACTCGTCGTCGTCACCGTGAACTGCTACGTCACCATCCTCGGCGTTCTCCTCGCTACGATCTGGGGCCAAGGCTCCGCAAGGGGCACCCTTCCCGCTCTCGCCGGCGCGAAGGAAGGACACAAGTCTACAGCCATGACCACCTTGCGGTTCGCGTCGCGCAACGCGCCGAACGCGGGAGGCCAGACGTCGCAGGACGCAGACGACGAGTTCGGATTCAGCGAGGACGAGTCGATGCCATCCATGAAGATGGAGAGCAGCACGAGGGGCTCCGATTCGATCACACAGGGCTCCATGGGGGAGGAGGTCCAGGAGAAGCGACTGTCTGCGTCCAGCACGGGACGGCCGACAGTACGGACTCGGACGACGCTTCGCGAGTCTGTGACGGCCGTCAATGTACAGGAGCGTACAGACCCGCCTACCCCCGTGTCGGTCTACGCGTCCGATCCAGAGTCGTTCCACACCGCAGCGGACGCCATGTACGATGCGGTATAATGCAATAAAGGACATTGTCCCACGACGGGATTGCTCTACTGGTCCCAGCAATTTTTTGTGCATACCGTACTCAGATGTGTAGTTATTGTTAAATGTAATCAGAAGTCATAGGATACGTCGTCCGACATTGAATGCACCACATCCCATGAGAACGTTTCGGAACCGGTGACACTGCATATGAGGAGGACTGTACAGACTTCCATCATATTGGTAGAAGGGCTGATAGAGACGATCGCGCTTAGCGACGTAGCCTCGTGGAAGGCACGATGTGTCTCTCGCAGCGATGTGACCATGGCCAGGTTCTCATCGTCCTGCTCGACAACGTCACCGGACTACGGCGTCGTCGCGCACTAGCGCAACGTCTTCTCTGCCACGGCATGGTCACACTTCCTGCTATGGCTGGGATCATCTCGCCCTCCACGTTGCTTCGCGCAGGGATGGGAGGAAGAGAACCGGCGGAAGGGAACAGGTACGAAGATCGTACACACCACGTTACGCATTTATCTCGCCTGCCATCCTCTACCCTCCCACACCCTCCGCAACGCGTATACTGAAGGAGACCGCAAACATGATGAAAGACGGACTCACCCTCCGACTAGTTTGTTGACATCGTGCCCATTGTCGCGTTGGCCACTGTGTGCAGCCGCACCGCGCTCTCCGAGCTGGCTCGCCTCCGTAACCCTTCTTTAGTCGCGGCGTACTCCATCAGGTGCTCCATGACGTGGTCTGAAGTTGTGCGCGCGGGGACCTTGCGCCGCTAAAATTGCAGAGCAATTTGCTCGCCGTGTGATAGGGTCTTGAGGTGAGGTGAGAGGCGTAATGGCAACTTGAGAAAAGAATATGGCGCGATAGGAGAAGCAAAGGGGTACTCTGTGTAGTGGTGTCCGCGGTTCTATGTAGTGGCCGGTCAGAGCTTCCTAGTAGTGAGCGAGGAGGGTTCTCGCTGTTTTCCGCTAGTGTTGCAGGCCGAGATGGCAAAAGCTCAACAGCGATAGCTGCCTTAGTTCAGCGAGCGTGGACATTCCGTGAGGTCCTAGCAGGTGGCGATGTGGCGGGAGGAAGCAAGTTTGGAGTTGCTCGCGATACAGGCAGCTGTTGGCGCTGTGTTGGCGCCCTTCCGGACGATATGCCCGATACGTTCTTCGGCTCACCAGTACAGGAGTCATGTTGAATTATCTTCAATAAGTATACCCGGGCAGACAAACAAACGAAGCAAGCCTATATCATCCGATTCCAGCCCTAGTACCCCCTCCACTTCTCTTCCAATGGCTGCGTTCTCGAGGGCAGCTCTGACCAAACCATACGAGATCGTGGCGGAGCGTTCACGTTCGGCCCCGGCGTCGAGGAAATTGGGGGGATTGGTGGGTTACTGGCTGCCACTGCAGGTTGCCATGAGCCATACGCGGGAGGTGAGTGATCTGCATTCCCGCGGAAGCCCTCAAGAGCGGGACTACCTGGGACCTGCCGGGAAGATCCCTCGCGAGAAAGAGCAGTGCGAGCGTTTACTGAGCGGTCTCCTCCAGTCCAACCTGGTTGAGATGACACAACACCGCCCGCAGAGAGAAAGCCCGGTGGCACTGGACCATCTACAGAGGGCGCTTGCTCACCAAAGCTCGCCCCTATGGGCTCGCCCATGCTGGTAGAGAGCACCGCCCGGTATCCGTAGCTGTGGTGCCGTTGTGTTGTAGGGTTTTCGCCATCCCGGATACCGTGCCGTTGTTTTCTCCTCCTCCACAACACGATGAGCCCTCCAATGATTGCGACAGCGCCAGCGGCCCCGGCTACGCCTCCGACAATAGCGCCGACATTAGCGTGCGATTTATGATTGCTGTGTCTCACGTTGTCCCCCGCGGATGGTGTAGCGTCGCCAGACGGTGAGTTCTACGAGATATAAAGTAATTCAAGAAGTGTTAGGGGCGTCGAACATGACAGAATGCACTCACCGAAGTCGCCGTGATCGTGGTTGGTGGTTCGCTTGAAGGACCGCCCAACACTGAATTAGAGGTGAAAGCGAACGTGGTTGCTGATTCGGTTATAGGAACGCCCGACATTGGATTGGAGGCGGAAGTAGGCGTAGACACGGTTATGATCTGATTAGGACAGTGGGTGAATATGTTATTGTTGGTCTGAGCAGCCTCTAATCCCGCCCTTTCTCTTGAGTAGGCGCTGTGCGAGAAGGAGCGTATGTTATCGACAATCCCGTTGAATTTATGCCCTGTAGATGCTCACTAGTACCTATTGAATATCGACGATCAGCATACGCAAAGGCGAACTCAAAAGAACAGTATCCTCGTACCATTCGCCAGCGCCCCAATCTTGATAAAGGAATTCGGCTAGTCGAATATTTTCATTGCACACCGCCGACTGAATGAATGTTGGGAGACTGGATGGAGTGTTAATGCGTATTTTTGGAACGTTATACAATTGTCGAGACTCACGAATTGTTTGTCCCAGCACCACAATTGTTCTGATAGATAGTATATGTTCCGACTGCTAATGTTCATGACAGGACAATCAGAGGACGGGATACCTATAGTCATGAGCAAGGACTCACGCGCATCGCATCCTTCCTGGTTGCCGAGCTTGAGGTCCCACTGACAGCTGCCCAATATGAACATAGTTGAGACAAGGAGATACACGAAACCAATATGCTTACTTCATGCAAAGCATGCTTAATTGGTATGCGACTGTATTACAGCAACAATAGCCTGAAAAGGCAATTGTCATGGTCTGGATCCAATCAAATAGCCAGAACGTACGTACCAACTTCATCATCACAGAGATCTCCGGGTACACTTGACTTGAAATTGGAAACTTGATCTGTAGGAGTACGTGAGGGAAAGACGGAGTTGTTCCTCAAAGTCCCATTCAATAAGAGATTCGTACTCACAGTCCTGGTTGCATATTTGGCGCAGCCGCTGGTAGGTCACGCCTGCATGCTCAAGCGTCCCATTCAGTGCCATGGAATGTGAGATTGTCGAGGAGCTCACTTACAAGGAGACTCTCCGACCATGTCTGTATACCAGTCTAACTGGCTGCTTGCGCATGTGGTATTGCCTGCATGCGCAGGCTGTGTCCACACCCCGTAAAGGAACACTATCCCAAGGTTGAATGCCTTGAGCCAGACCATGGCACGCAGTATCACTTGGACAAGGGTTGCAAAAAGTGAGCGATACCGCAGGACGAAAGAAGTACCAGAGAGTCGGACGAGGGGGTGGAGAGGGGTGTGTCGACATATATGCACCTCATAAGGGCAGCAGCGGGCACCGACTCACTGTTGGTAGGCAGCAGGATAGATACGATCAGTAACTGCCAACGTGTCAAACAGTGGGCAAGGTTTTGAAGCGTACGGTGTTCTAAGTAGTCGTCGACGCAGTTAAGTATCCTTGATTGCGAAACTTTCAGGATGTGCGAGAACCATCGCAGAAGATAATCTCTTAATTGCTATCGCATCCCTCCCCCAGAGACTTTGCGCGGCTCTCTCCTCTGGCGGGTGCAATGTGAGAGGTGTGTCATCGCAAAGCCTCCAGTTGTGAGCGATGGCCACAAAGAGAAACAAAGCTGAGTGCAGTGACTCGAGATCCTATTACGGGTACATGGGCCCAATCGCACTGGCATCGGTACTCCCCCTCATGAAAGCGGCGCTTCCCCAATTGACGTGAACGCGCCTCATCATAGCCATAGAGGGAGTGGGAAAGATTAGATCTGGTCGGGAAGTACGTGAAGCCGTGAAAGAGCAACTGATGTCAACTGCCAACTGGTACCTCCTCATGGCGAGGGCAAAGTTCACTCTTCCTGATGACTCTGATGCGACAGCGTCAGAACGTCAGTTTGTGCTTTGCGGATTTTCCCGAGGGATTGCGCTTACAGGTACGTCCAAGCGCGCCTTCGGAGGCTTGTCGTCGTGCTCCCCACGCGCGTCGCGGCGAGGAATCTATACATTGTCGAAGTTCTCAGAGTATCACCAAGATAGCCTTGGGGCACTTTTACCTCGAGATGAGAGCTTGGGACTCTCCACCGGTACACGGGAGGCCATTAGCGCCTATAGATTTCTTTCGCCAACAAAAACTTGGGCGTTGCCACACCACAAAGTTTGCCGACAATCGTGGTGCACACCGCGACGCCATACACGGCTTGACCACGGTGCAACCATACTGGAAAATTGACATTCTGAAGAGCTGGGGAGAACGCAAGCGATAGTGAAAGGAAGGTCGAGTAACCAGGAATTACTGGAGAGTTGTCCAGTCAACCTGCGGGCGCGCTGGCCGACTCGGAAATCTCATTAGGTAACGGGCGTCTGTTCCCGACGATTTCTCTGTAAAGACTCCTATCGGAAGTCCGAACGTACGCCGTATGCCGCCACGGTCAAACCTCCTACCTGTACCCTCATTTTTTGTATGGCTCGATCGCCTCCATGGCGACGGAATCCTCTCGTCTCTAATCATAGGAGGGGGTCTCGGAATCACTTTCCCCCTACCTACTTGGTGCATGATCACAGAAACACATACGACAGACAATTCAAGTTGCGCGGCCGTTTCCCAGAATCATGCGCTCGGATCTGCAGGTGCCTTGCCCATGCGGCATCCCTGTTCGGTCTTAGTTCCCTATCACAACCATCTGGGTCACTTTAAACGAGGCTGAAATTCTGGGGCTAGAGTTTAGATTTCTTCGGTTTGCAACTTCGCTGTCCTTGAGCTGAAATACTACTGGATCAATGCTGGGGATAGTAGTATGTGTCGTGTCTTGCGGAGATTGCACCTCTCGGTAAGTTCCAACCGCGGTAACTCTGCACTTGATAAGAGCTAATCGGGCGAGAATGCCATTCTACGGCTAATTCCTGCTTTTCACAGCTTCTGCAGCTAGTACGACGCTATGATTCAAGGGCCCGTGAAAGCACCGTTCAGAGTGACCCATGAGAAGATTGACATGCTCTCGTGTGCTAAGCACGCGGTCATTCGGGACGGACATACTTTCGTAAAGCGTCCCATGAAACTCACTGCATGTGTCCGAGGCCTTGCGCTGGCAGCTGTGCGCTGGCAGCTGTGCGCTGGCAGCTGTGCGCTGGCAGCTGTGCGCTGGCAGCTGTGCGCTGGCAGCTGTGCGCTGGCAGCTGTGCGCTGGCAGCTGTGCGCTGGCAGCTGTGCGCTGGCAGCTGTGCGCTGGCAGCTGTGCGCTGGCAGCTGTGCGCTGGCAGCTGTGCGCTGGCAGCTGTGCGCTGGCAGCTGTGCGCTTGCAGAATGGCAATGTCCATGCTGGATGAGGGACTCAGGTGGAGAAACAGGACAAACGAGACGATGCATAACAGACAGACGTACGTGGTCAGCGCATACCGTAACAATAGCTCCCAGTGCTGGCACTTCAGTCTTCGGTCTCTTTTCAGCATTGGAACCACTCCTAAACCCTTCTTCGAGAGTGCCAGGGGTACGCTCATGGACGCTTTACCGACGGCGAGCACCGTCACCGCGTTTCCTCCCGGTTTGATTACCTTCACTTGGTATACGAAGGTTTGGTAAGTCGACGGATGCGTGGGCATGAGGTGCAGCTGCTAAAACGTCGATAGAGCTGATATACCGTCCTCTAGGTACGAGTTCTATATGGTGATAGCAACCCCTACGATCTATTGCTTCGGACAGTCTGTCCGTCTACGAGCTTTGCGAGAATTGGTCATACAACAACCTGGTGAGGACCCTGGCTCATCTTTTCTTCCCCGAATCTCGCTGAGCGATTGGGTATGTCGAAGCGTCTTCATTATCATTGACCTTGCAGTGCAGTCATTTCACTACGTTGAGCTTTACGGCGTACTCCGAAAATAAGTCGCATCTCTGCACGGTCTTCTCGGTAAGCCATAGACCAGTCAAGGCTCTCGCCTTTTGTATTGATGCGCTAAAGAGACCTTGTCTCATTCATCGCTAGCGCTGGCAGAGTGCAACAGCAAGAGTGTCTCCATGCTGCTCAATCGAGGTGTTCATCCATAGAGCAACGGAACTGCACAGCCGTTCACTCAACAAGACCACCACTGCGCACAACAGTGTGTTCGGCGCCCCGATCACAACTTCCATCTCAATCTCGGGTACGGGGCTGTGGCTAGATGATATGTGCGTCTTTTCGCTTTCTCTCGGCTCTGCGCTCGCGCTCAGCTGATGAAACAGACGCTTATGGGCCAGAGTCACCGCATCGGACTCCTCAAATCAGGTATGTACACTTGCTCTCCACGGCTTAGCCCTGCATACCGCGCCGGCGTCACCACTGGGATTGTCTCCCCTCAACTCAACGGCTTCCTCTCAGGCCTCAATACGGCCTTCTCCATCGCGACCCCACATAAGTTTGCAGATGGGGCGATCGTACAACGAGCAGTGGCTATCCATGTCTCGATTCATCTCGGCTCTTCGCTGAGAATCAGCACTCAGACTGCAGCCCTCCTTCATTCACTGCTCGATCAGACTGATGGAGACCTCGGAGAGTGGTTCGATGTGACCAGGAATGGGAAAGCGACACTTGTCGTTGAGGCTTGAGAGCGCGGACGTGATTGCAATGGCGGTCAAGCTCAAGAGGGAAATCAAGTCCGTCGTGGGCCTTGCACAGGGTAGTACGCTGAAGGCGACGATCTCCGAGGGGGAAAGAAGGACATCTCCTCAAGCTGGCGCAAGAACTTGGGGATGTAGGGGCAGTGTAGGGGCAGGTTTGATACTGATGGAACTAAGGTCGTTCCCGGGGCGCTGAGGGCGCGAGGACGACCTTGGACCAGAGGATAGGGAGGCCTACCTGGGCGATGATGAGCGCGAAAATGTGCAAGCAGGCTTTGCGCCTTTGAGACGCTTGGTTTCAATATATAGGCATTAGAAATCATCTCTATCTCGCGCATACAACAGCTAAGCTGGCGCAACCAGGTAATGTACGACAAATATTGCGACGAATCCTCACCGGAGCACGCTCTGGCAATCTCGGCCTCTCTATCGGGCACCCGTGCTCGAATCGGCGCCTCAGGCAATCGCTGCAATCGCCGAAGGGATTTCTGCACCTTTGCTGATGCGCTCACCAGTAAACGAGTCATGGTGGATAATCTTCAATATAAGTACACCGGGACAGACAAACAAACAAAGTAATCCTATATCATACAGCCCTAGTATGCCCTCTACTTCTCTACCAATGACTGCACTATCGAGGGCGGCTCTGGCCCAACCGTGGACAGCGGAGCGTTCACGTTTGAGCCCAGCGTCGAGGAAATTGGCGGGTTTGGTGGGTTACTGTCTGCCATTGCAGATTGCCATGAACCATACGCGGGGGGTGAGCGATCCAGATTCCCGCGGAAGCCCTCAAGAGCGGGACTAACTGGGACGTGCCGAGAAGATCCCTCGCGAGAAAGAGCAGTGCGAGCGTTTACTGAGCGGTCTCCTCCAGTCCAACCTGGTCGAGATGATACAACACTGCGCGAAGAGAGAAGGCCTGGTGCAACTGAGCCATTTGCGGAGGGCGCTTGCTCTCCAAAGCCCCCACCTATGGGCTCGCCCACTGACATGCTGCTAGCGAGCGCCGCTCTGGATCCTATCGGAAGGCTGTCCTGGTATCCGTAGCTGTAGTGCCGTTGTGCTGTAGGGCTTTCGCGATCCCAGCTACCGTGCCGATGTTTTCTCCTTCTGCAAAAGACGATGAGCCCTCCAATGATTGCGACAGCGCCAACGGCCCCGACTACGCCTCCGACAATAGCGCCGACATTAGCGTGCGAGTTATTGTTGCTGTGTCTCTCGTTGTCCCCCGCGGACGGTGCTGCGTCGCCAGACGGCGCGTTCTATGAGTTTAAGATTCAGTCATGAAGTATCAGGGACGTTGAAAATGACGGAGAATGCACTCACCGAAGTCGCATTGGTCGTGGTTGTTGTTGGTTCGGCTACCGGACCGCCCGACATTGGATTGGAGGTGGAAGTAGGCGTAGACACGGTTATGATCTGATTAGGGCAGTGGGTGAATATGTTGTTGTTGTACTGAGCAGCCTCTAATCCCGCCCTTTCTCTTGAGTAGATGCTGTGCGAGAAGGCGCATATGTTATCGACAATCCCGTTGATTTCATGTGCCGTACATGCTCACTAGTACCTATTGAATATCGCGATTAGCATCCCCATAAGCAAATTCAAAAGACAGTATCCTCGTACCAGTCGCCAGTATCCCAAGCTTGGTAAAGGAAGTTGGCTAGTCGGATGTTTTCATTGCACACCGCCAACTGAATGTTTGTTGAGAGACTTGATGGAGTGTGAATGCGTACTTTTGGAATGTTGCTCGACTGTCGACACTCACGAGTTGTTTGTTCCAGCGCCACATTTGTTCTGATAGATAGTATATGTTCCGACAGCTAACGTTCATGACAGGACAATCAGAACACGGAGCACCTATGGTCATGAGCAAGCACTTACGCGCATCGTATCCTATCTGGGTGCCAGGCTGGGTGTCCCACTGACAGCTGCCCAATATGAACATAGTTGAGACAAGGAGATACACGAAGCTGAGATGCTTACTTCATGCAAAGCATGCTCAATTGGTATGCGATTGTATTGCAGCAGCAATCGCCTGAAGAGGCGATCGTCACGGTCTATATCCAATGAAAAAGCCAGAACGTACGCACTGATTTGATCAGCACACACATCTCCGGGTACACTTGACTTGAAATTGGGCACTTGATCTGTAGGAGTAGATGAGGGAAAGACGCAGTTGTTCCTCAAAGTCCCATTCAATAAGAGATTCGTACTCACAGTCCTGGTTGCATATTTGGCGCAGCCGCTGGTAGGTCACGCCTACATGCTCAAGCGTCCCATTTAGTGCCATAGAATGTGAGATTGTCGAGGAGCTCACTTACAAGGAGACTCTCCGATCATGTCTGTATACCAGTCCAGCTGGCTGCTTGCGCATGTGGTATTGCCTGCATGCGCAGGCTGTGTCCACAGCCCGTAGAGGAGGAACGCTATGCCAAGTCTGAGTGCCTTGAACCAGACCATGGCACGCAGTATTATTGGTACAGGAGTGGCACGAAGTGAGCGATATCGCAGGACGAAAGAAGTACCAAAGAGTTAGACGAGGGGTGGAGAGGGGTGACTCGACATTAATGCGCCTCATAAGGGCACCAACGGGCATTGACTCACCGTTGGTAGGCAGCAGGACAGCTACGGTCAGTAGCTGTCAACGCTTGGAACAGCGGGCGAGGCTCTGAAGCGTACTGTGTTCAAGTATTCGAGGCATTCGTACAGTGTCCCTGAGTGCGAAAGTTTCAAAATGGTGTCGGTGTGTGTAAGCATCATAGAAGTTATTTGTTAGCTGCGACCGCAACCATCCCTCCCCATAGTCATAGTGCAACTTAGCTATACCGTGATCCACGAGTTCCTCATACACAAGCGTTACAGCTGGCGCTCCGAGCAGCCGAATAACGGCTTCATCGGCGCAGCTTTCACATCTGATGAGTGCGACGTGAGATCTATGTTGCATAGCAAAGCCTGCCAATCGTGAGCGATGGCTACTAAGAGGAGAAAAGCTGAATGCAGTAACTCGCGATCCTAGTACGGAACGTACTTCGGCCCAACCGCACTGGCATCGGCACTCCGCCACATGAAGGCGGGGCTTCCCCAGCCGACATGAACACCCCTCATCATCGCCATAGGGAGTATCGGGAAGGAGAGCCTCAGGCTAAATCTGGTTGGTGCGTGAAGCAGCTGATGCCAACTGCCAACTGTAGTACCTCCTCGTGACCAAGGCAAAGTTAGCTCTTCTTGATCACTCTGATGCGACAGCGTCCCGCCTTGCATATCGGATGCATACTCTGTGAGCTGCTAATCAGATCACGCTTGTCATGAGACAATGTGGGTGGAGAGTACCTGTGTGGCCGGAGCAGCACTGGAATCAACTACCGGGGAAAGCTGCCAGCGGCAAGGTCGTGCCAATCGTCAAAGCCAAAGGCAGAAACCTGGTTCATCATCCTACACAGTACGCAGGGAGATGGAAAGGACGCAAGCGAGTCGAGTATTATGACATCAGAAAGAGTTGTCGAGGCAACCTGCGGAAGTAACTCGTAGCCTAGAGTCGTCCGGCAGGCGCGCGTGAGCTAAAATCTCGAAAGATAACGGGCGTCTGTTCCCGCCGAGTGCTCGTATCATGCTGCCACGGTCAAAACCTCCTTCACTGTCCCCTTCTCTGTGTGGCTCGATCTCCTCTATGACGACGGAACCCTCTTGTGTGCCTGTTCCCGCCTAGATTTGTAAAAGTGGGTCTCGGTGTCACTCTTCTATCTGTTTCGTGCACGATAGCAGAAATACGTACGACAGACAACCTTCGCGCGGCCGCTTCCTGGCAGCATCATGCGCTCAGCTCAGCAGGTCCCTTGCCCATGCGGTATCCCTGCCCGCGACTAGTGCGATACTACGACCATGCGAGTGACCTCCAATGAGCTCTGGGATAAGACTTGAGTTGGGATAACACCCGAACCAACAGTGCCGCGGAAAGTATGTGTCGTGTCTTGCGGGAGTTGCAGCCTTCTGTGAGTCTCGATATTCCTCAAAATTCATCGACGGTTCGAAGCTGCGCAGAATGCGACGCCCTGCACTTTATAAGAGCTAAGCGGGCGACAATGCCATTCTACGGCTACGTCCTGCTTTCCACAGCTCCTGCTTATTACGCTAGCATAACGCTATGGTTCAGAGCCCTGTGGAAGCATCATCCAGAGTGACTCATGTGAACATTGACATGCTCTCGCGTGCTACGCAGGCGATCATTTGGGACGGACATGCTTTCGTATAGCGTCTCGTTACACTCAGACTGCGCGTTCGAGGCCTTGCAAACGCACGTGGTCAGCTCATGCCGTAACGATAGCTCTCAGTGTTGACACTTCAGTCTTCGGTCTCGATTCAGCATTGGGACCACTCCAAACCCTTCGTCGACAGTCCCAGGGGAACACTCATGGACAACCAACCGAAGACGAGCACTTTACCGCGTTTCCTCCCGGGGTAATTACCTTCATTTGAGCTGCGAAGGTTCAAGATCTGGTTCCCCACGACTAGAAGTTGACGGATGCGTGGGCATGCGGTGCAGCCGATATCTGAGATATTCTCCGCAATGTCTCCGCATTCACGAGGTACGCTTGGTTGCGGAATAGGTCAACGCTAAAATGTCGGTAGAGCTGACACACAGTCCTCTAGGTACGAGCTCTCTACGGTCGCAGCGACCTCCAATCGCCTGTATCTATCGCGTTGGAAAGTATGTCCGCCTGCGAGCTTTGCGAGGATTGGTCATACAACGACCTGGTGAGACTTGGCCCATGTTCTCTGCCCCGATCATCGGTGAACAGTTGGGTGTTCTAATCATCTTATTCGTCACTACGCTTCCACCACGTTGGCCTTTACGGCGTACTCAGAAATCCAAGCTGCAGCTCGCCGCGGTCTTCTCGGTAAGCTATAGACCAATCGAAATACTCGACGTTTGTATTGTTGCGCTAAAGAGACCTTGTCTCAATCCATCGCTAGCTCTGGCGGAGCCCAACAGCAAGTGAGGCTACAGGCGGCTCAATCGAGGTGTGTATTTATACAGCAACGCAACTGCACAGTCGTCCACTCAACAAGACCACCACTGCGCACAACGGCGTGCTCGGCAAGCCGAACACAACTTCTATCTCCATCTCGGTACGGAGCTGCGGCTAGATATGTGCGTCTTCTCGCTTTCCTTCGGCTCTGCGCCTGCACTTCGCTGATGAAACAGATTATCGAACGCAAGGATGCCGTTCTTGTTCCCTAAAAGGGCTCTTGTTCTTCACAACCGACAGCGCCGCCGCCGTTACCGCACTCCCTCCCCGAAGGGTAGCGGCGTCATGTAAGGTGCGGTGCCTTGGCGCATCATGGAAGACGAAGTGGGTTTGGAGCACCCGACAGAGCTACCGTCTTTGTACTACGTCTGGCCCAAGCACTGATTGAATCTGCCGATAAGTTCTACTCCGGCTGTTGCCCAGCCGAACCTCTCGCAACAGTGCGATTCTGGTAGCGAGCCACTCGGGCGGATTGTTCTCCGGCAACGCTAATAGGGAACGTATCTCAAAACCTAGATTCGGCAACTTCACCTTCATCGAGCAAGAACCCAACAGGTCCTCTCCGACCTCGCATCGATCAGTCCCAGGAACCTGCTCCCAGCCAGGGACCTCCCCTAGACTGGGGCTCTTCGAGCCGTCTCTCAGTACAGTCTTCCTCAATGCGCATGATTTTTTACCCCCCCTAAATCGCTCAAAAGCGTAGCCCAATACACGAAAAGGTAATCAGGTGTAAATTACTTAAGGGTTAAGGTACACCTTCTCGATGAAATGGAATTATGCATGAGAGAATGAACGTCTCGGTCCCAAACGGGCAGATGTTGTATGACCGTACGTCTTCCTCGTATCATCGAAGCGAGGTCCTTCTGATGAAAGCAGCGCCGGAGGTGATTATGGCACCAAAATGATTCAAGCGACTTCCCATGCGGTACTTGTTCGTGACGTTGCCCTCGCCGACCTTCCGCCTTGGTTAGGACACGAGGAGTGCTGTCTGTCAAGAAAAAGTGTGTCTCTGTAGCTTTTGGGTACATCCTGCCGTGGTCCACTGTGCAGAACAAGCATCTCAATCCCAGCAGCGGACGGTTTGAAGTAGGTGGCGAATACCAGCTCTACGGTAGTCCATGGAAACGCCAGTTTGTTGACATATCAGTTAACTATCGACCCTCGTAACTCCCGTAGACAGGTCGCAAACCCCACCGTTCATCGACATGCGGTGGAAGGAACTTCAAATGTCTCTGTGGCCAAAGGCAATACGAGACTGTACAATCCCGTGCCCTCATTGCGGTGACATTGGCCAGGGTAAAGTGCAATGCGGGGACCAGATTGAATAATCCACAAAGATGAGTATTGCTCTTCTATCTGACGTGCCTGTCTCCGGAGTCTATGCAATGGAGCTGCCGTACGACTGGAACGCCGGCCCAATGGCTCATTCGCAGTACACGCATACCAATGCCAGTGCGCCAGGCAGCTGCTGGAGTGATCGAAGATCCTGGCTCACTTCCTGGGCTACTCACAAGCCCCGTGTCCTAACTTCTACTAGGTGAAAATCCTGAACATCTTAGAGTGGTGCTGAGGAACCGACGCCACAGCGCCTTCATGATGCGTAGTCGGAGATGAGCAATCATGATGTGATGTGGTACACCCACACAGTGGTCTTGTTCACGATTCTCCTCAGTCGTTGGACTATCTTAGGAGGGAAGCCGGACTTGAGATGATGCACGATGTTGGTAGTGCGGCCTCGAGGGGAACTTGCAGTAGACGAGGTACTCGATAGATACGGATTCCAGGCGATCTCAAGAGCACATGTCATATAACCTCATACAGGTAATCTCTATGTCCCTTCGACAGAATGTCTACCATCCCCATGATGTCTCCTGGAGAGCTTGAGTCAGTGCCAATCGTTGTCATCGTGCCTGCCCTGCAAACCCTGCTTATAGTGATTATCTTCTCATCCTTCCTTGTCCCTACTACAATCGCTCTCTTCGTTTCGTCTACACCTGCACACAGAAGGCTGCCAACTTTTATTCTGAATCTCTGCGCCATAATCCTTGGTTTGGCTCAGGGAGCTATCTTGAGCTATCTCTCCGTAAGTGAGGCTCAAGTCCTTGCAATCGCTCACTAATTCACATACTCCAGATCACCGAGTTGACAAACAAAACGACCAACCAGCGGCTGATCTCCGCGAGTATTGGGCTTTACGTAGTCTTGCCCATATGCGTCCAAACTATCCTTCTCTTTCGGATCATTGCCGTATATCCACCGCGATCTCTACCAATAGCAACTTGCATTGGCTTGTACGGACCGGCAATTGCGATGAAGGCTGCGAGGGTTGCCAATGCTTGCTATTTGATATACTCGACTCAGAGAGGCAAAGAAGGAGTACCCAAAACGGTTGCCAGTCAATCTGCAGCGATATGGACCTCCCCGTATGCCAAGTCGGAGTGGTTTCTCCAGCTTGCTGACGACGTGTACGTCTTAGGGCCTCAAATCTCGAAGCGTAGTGGGGCTGACCCCAAGGACACGTTTTCAGATTCGTGTCGACCCTCTTTCTCATGCGCATACAACAGGGCATCAAATTCTCTGGAAAGCATACTTCTAAAAAACGATATGACGGGCACTCAGCGACAGGTTCGCCTCCCGCGTAGCTCACTATATCGAGTCGTTCGCTCACCGAGTAATTTATAGTATCTTATGCGGCACGCCTCCAAACGCTATTCTGGATTGCACTCTCCAACTTCGTCTTTCCAGTCATCTTTGACATCGCACAATTGGTCATGATTTTGCGAGACTCAAACTACATCGATGGGTCGCGTGTCGTAAGCGTCAACACATATGTCTCCATTCTGGGAGTGCTTTTCTCGACCATCTGGGCCACGGGATCTCTCCACACGTCCGAGAGCTCAGTCGGACAGACAAGCCTTGCGACAAACATCTACTCTACTCGCATGCCTAGCATAGGCCGCGCTCCACTGGTTGCCTCGCGGAATCTTCCCTATGCCATGGCCTCTTCCGCAACGCTTTCAAGGATGTCCGAGTCGAACACTGTTGAAAAAGGAAGCCATGAAGAGGATGCGTAGAGGTGAGTGCGTTAAGGCTACCGCGCTCCGTCAATACCCATAGTAACTCATTTTGTTGTCATAGAATGCTCATGTCTCCCGTCTAGTATTCCCGTTGCGAGCCCATAGCAACACTCTGGGACGCTAACCTTGACGCAGTCACCGAGGAAGTCGCCTCGATCCGACGACTCGTCGTATCTACTGCAGGGACATGAACAGTAGTTAAATTCAATGTAGTGAAGTGCTTTCTTATATTATGCTTCTTGCTGCCTGTCGTATTCCACGCTATCTTCAATTGTCACTTATTCATGTAGTAGAATAGAAACTCGTATATGTTCGTATCGGACTCAATGGCTGTTATCCCAGGCACCGCCATAACCTGAGACACAGAGTTCCTCGGACGGAGCTAGTACAATTCTTCTCTACTGCGGCACTGAGTCTATTGATCCTGCAAATGTATACGAGTCCTATTCCCCTGAACCTATCATTCGGATACTCTCGAAATCGGCTGTCCCTTCGAGCAGTAGATCTGACACGGAGTGATGCCCACAGTAAAGGGGCCAAATTTTGAAAATCAAGGAAGAAAAAGGTCTTTTGAGGGTAGAATATACAATGTTATGAAGACCACTCTGTAGGGGCCGAACTTGTGCCACCAACCGTCTTAGGCGCTCTGCGTGTCGCCGCATCCCATGATACTCGAGCAGAGCCGCTACCTGGCGCACACCCTCTTTTGCGAAGCCCGTTATAAAGAAGAGGGTCCAAAGAACTGGACGATGTTTGTATGCCAGAAGGTCTCGATGGTTCATCGGCTTGAGGCAAACGAATTCTGGCAAACTAGCAGCCGGAAGGTGAGGATATATTAGACAGGAACGCAAATAAGAACAAACCTACTGATCGGGAAATCTAGACGCCCCTGCTTCCCACAGGGTGCGACGACTCTCAATACCAGATCCGATGTTCAGACTACCCTGCGCGATAATGCCCACTTTTTATGACTTATGACCACTAGCTTTGCCAATCTGCACTCATTGTTCAAAATTTTTCCCCTTCACTGGCGCATTCACTCCAAGACGACTCTACCAAAGTCCTGACACGTCAAACCTTTCCGATGAAGAGATGGGGCCTCATGACGAGGAATCAATGACCTTGGCTGGTGCCAATCTGGACTCATGCACAAGAGTGAGCGCAAATCACTCCCCAGTCTCCCTTGGTTCTCCTGTGTTGCAATCTGGAGCACAAGTACAATCCATCCGTATCTACATTTTAGTGATACTTGCTTTTCCCCAACCTACTAGCATTCGAGATGTGAGCTGGATTGCCATGACATCACCGGTTCTGAATGACTCCTCGCCAGTACCGGGTGTCGCTCAATATACTACCCCCTCCGACTTGGGTAGCGCAGACACTTGTAGACCCTCGCGGTCAGCACGTAGGCCAATCAAGAACGAGTGTCCTATGTTGGCGCTCCGAAATCTCCTGCACATCGTCACCTACAGGGCACAAGCATTGAACTGCCATCTCGTCCAGGGACTCCTCGTCGGGGTAGCTGCTCTGCGTTTCGGATAGAGTTCATCATGATTTTCATCGCAGGAAGCTGCGATTGACAGAATGTATCGCCGATAGCGGCATGGAGACGAAGAACCGCCCTCTTAGAAGAAGACCGTCCTCTGGTAGACATGTTGACTGCACCGCCTAATCTCTCCCACATGCGCTAACCATTGGCTAGAAGTGCATAATCACCGATGCCAGCTCAGATCCTGGTGGTTGTCTAGGCGCAAATCGATGACGAATATCCTCCCCGACGTTGCGCCTCGCGGTGCGAGACCACCCCCGACTGGTCACATCGGGATACCATGATCCTCCCCCCGCCCTGTCTTGCGCCCCGTGCGCCCTTCCCTCGAGGCGTGCAGTGCGTCGCTAGGATATAGCGCTCGGATCCGATGCGGCGTGTAGATGCGAGTACAGAAGGTGCCTTGTCAGCTAGTAGGCAAGGACGCTCTGGCAGGTTCACAGAATTGCGTTGATTCCTGACATTGCTATACGCGCGCGGTATGTCCTCTACCGTCGGCATATATTGTGTGCGCGAGCTCATGCCGTCTTCGCAACAACAGCCCCTGGCGTCGAGTTATGTCCTCCGCCTCCGCCCCTGCAGCTGTGTTCACCCCGCCACCTCCTGGCCTGAACTACACCGCGGCCCTGGATCCTTCGATCAAGTTCCTACTCATCGGGACTGCCTGTTCCGCCACGCTCATTCCTATCGCGGTCATGCTCTTCTTCTTTTCGACTCCTTCTGGCCGACGACAGCCGGTGTTTATCCTTAACGTATTCATCATCGCGTTGGGGCTCGCCGAAGGAGGGGTCAATATCTATAACCAGGTATGTCATACCGTGCCAACTCAATCCTTGGAGTACTGTTACGATCATGACGTAGACGAGATCCATGCTCGCGCTACCGGTCTCGGTGGAACTGTCGATCGCCTTCGCGTGCTCCTCGATCCTCGTTCCCGCACTCGCAGACACTGTGTTGTTATTGCGAGTATTCACAGTATACCGCCCAAGCCAGATGACGACCAAGTGCATAGCCGCGATATATGGGCCGATCTCGATGGTCAAGATCGCGCGCATGGTTGTCGAGATTGTCTTCGTCGTCCGGTGGAGCCGAGCTATCGCAGGTGGCGCTGTTGGTAGCAATATCCTTATAGTCGGCCAGATAGCCTGGCGCACACCATACGTTAAAGCTGCGTGGGTTCTGCAGCTAGCGGATTCTAGGTAGGCCCTGCAAGGGCTGCTCTGGCGTTGCATTCAACTGACAGAGGTATTCCAGTTTCGCCTCCGCCATATTCCTCTTCCGTTTAAGGAAGGGGAGACTACGTACCAACCGTATCCACGTTCCAGGTGCCGATAATGACACCAACATATCAGGGACAACGCAAAGTCTGTCACGTTCATGCACCTGCACCGTACACTGCTCACCAGGCGTATATCAGATACGTACTACGACCGTCTTCGGACGCTGTTCTGGATCTCCGCGTCCAACTTCGTGTTCCCCGTCGTTCTCGACCTCACGCTGCTCGTCCTGGCCTTCAGTGAGGACAACTTCCTGACCGGCACTTATGTCCTCATGGTCTCCAACTACGTAGACATCATCGGCGTGCTGCTCGCGACGATATGGTCGACAAGCACCAAGTACGCCCAGCCCCTCATGCCCGGGGGCGAGGTCAGCGAGTTCCGCACCACGCGTTCACTCAGCCCCCCACGGTTCGCCGTCTCGGTCACCACGGTCGAAGAGCGACTGGATAGCCCTAGCAGCCAGGACATCCCGATGACGGTCTTCAAGCCGGCGGGCACCTCGGGCGCGCATACCCAGGCCTAGGACGATCCGCTCCACACTCATTATGACATCCCGCGCGAGCGCGAGCATGTCTTCGCATACCTATCTCCGCACACGTGTCTTTGCGCATTCGACCCAGCTATCCCGCTGTCCCACTCCTTCTGCTGCATGGCTATCTCCACCGTCTCTTGCATCACATCGCATATATACTCATACTCATACTCATACTCATACTCATACTCATACTCATACTCATCTCCGTCATTCTCTTTCCGCATTCCCCGCCATTGGTTGGCTCTGGTACCTCACTACAGTGTAGCATAGTTTTCTCCGTCCACATTTACCGACGCAACATCTTGTTTTAGTGTAACACCCAGAATAAGTACAAGTCTTCGCCTCAACGCCGTCTTCGACGGCTCTTGGCCACCCCGATTGCGCCATGTGCACATCCGAGCGGGTCAGCTCGCAGTTGATCCAACCTGGGGAGCCGACCACGGAACCGCTCCTTTACACGCAGGATAGTCGTGCGTGGTCTGCATGTGGAACTTATCCTGCCAGCTACAGCACGAGGGTTCCACGATGCATCGCGGCGAGTCACCGCCCTACCCGATCCAGTGCTGCGGCGGCCTCAGAACCATGCTCAAGCTTCGAGGGGTATTGAATAGCCCAAAATCCAATGCAGCGCAGAAAGGGATAAGCGGTTCCACCACAATGCGGCCGAAACGCTAATGTCAAGCACCGACCGAACCTTCCCTTCACTGGGTGCGCCGAGAAGGGGGCTATCGGACGGCACAAAGGGGCTAGGGAGCACTTCACCGTGAGGGCGGCACATACGTGCATTCCTGAGGTCGAGAGGCAGCAACATACGGTGTCCTAGCAATTGACCATTGCACATTCTACCCGGGGGACTCAGGACGAGGTGACACCCTCTGGCGCAGAGGCAGGCTGTGCCTTGCTTCGAACGCCCCTCTCGCTCCGCCAGGATGCAGTGGCTGCACACGGCGGAGTCGAGCTGCATTCCCAGAGCCCTACAATCGGAACTACAGACACACGCCGCCAGTCGGCAGACAGCGAGGAATCCGGTGAGGCTGGGAACGATCAGACACATTCAGAGGCATGCCGTATACGTAATGCGACGCTCATGCCGTGCCAGGGAGATCAGCATCTGCCAACAGCTGAGCATGTGTATACGTACTGTTCGCCCTCGCGATGGGCGGGGGGTAAGGGCAATCCAGCCACCAACCGCAACCATTGCGAGGTATCCTCGTTGCGAGATGGCGCAGTGCTCCAAAGGGAGGCGGCCTCGTACTCGATCCATGCTGGACACTCGTGCTGGGATCTTCAAGAAGGGAACGCCATACCGCACTTCTCCCACGTCAGAGCACCTCCTTCGAATTCCGTTGCGGTGGCAGTTACGTGGAGGGAAGCCGAAGCACGGAGACGTAAGATGAAGGGAGACGAGAGATGGAAGACGTTCGTCGGCAAGCAGACACGCCTCCGACGCGCCGCTAACCTTGGAGTTCGAGGCGAAATATCGTACGACACCGGACACCGACATTTGCAACTTCCACGTCACGCCGCACAGGAGATAGAAGAGCAACAGAGGTACCATATCGGATGGAGATGGATGGACAGAACATTACAAAGATGGACGCAAGGGCTGGTGGGCTTCCAGCAGGATATCGCATTGCACGTAACTACGCCCTGAGCTCGTCTGATCCTTCGCTGTGATATGTAGCCTTGCGCACGCCTTCTGGGCGGTCGATTGAAGAGAGGAGGTAAGACGCATGCTATGTATGCACATGGACGGCGGATGGAAAGAAGTGCAATTGTACAGCCCTTGGGAAAGGAGATGTCGCCGTCGGAGTTCCGAAGAAGTCAGGCCAGTGCGGGCGCTAGAGAGTTGGTTCAGTTCGGTACGCCAGCTCGGGGAAGCTCACTTCTGATTTCCCAGAAAAATGTCAAAATGCGAATATCACAAATTACATACACCAGGCGGGCAGGAGATATACTACGTGACAGTCCAACAATCACAGGATCATGAGAGGCCTGCGGTCATAACAGCGGCAAGACAAAAAAGACATGCTAAAGACGGGCCGAAAGCACAAAACAGAGGCGACGTGGCAGACATTTGAGGCATTAGAGATCGTGTACAGTCCCCTTGAAGGTCCAAGTCCAGGCCCAGCAGTAGAGCAAGAAAGATCACAGCCGCGAGGCCGCGGACGCCTTGATGAGGTCCGCCGCACGCTCCGCCACGGCGACGACGACCGCGCACGGATGGCCAGAAACCTGAGTCGGGAAGACGGACGCGTCCACGCAGCGCAGGCCGACGATGCCGTGCACGCGCAGGGACGGATCCACCACGCTGTCTTGCGGCGACTGGCCCATCCGCGCCGAGGACACCTGTTATGCGCGTCGTGTACGTCATATCATGTGCCGGCGTCGACAGTGTCAGCCGAGGATGGAAGAAAATCATGAAAAGTTCGTCACGTCCATGAGGGACATATAGGAGCAGAAGAGAGGCGAAGATAGGACGTACCGGGTGCCAGGCCGGGAGGGCCGTACGGCGCAGCATCTCCTTGATCTCGCGGTCAGTGATCTGTGCAGTGCAGCAGCAACGTTCAGCACATCGTTCTAGGTTATACGGCATGCTAGCATGTGAAACAATACTCGCCAGATTCGGGTCTGCTACGCCTGGCCACCAAGGGCTCGACGGGTTGATGGAGTTCCCCTTGAGGTGCAGCTTCGACGCTACTGGGTCTGTATGGGCAAGTCGGAGGAGCAGGCGGATGCCGCGAACGAGCACGTTCATATCGCTCTCCGTGGACAGGTAGCTGCGGTAATTGTACTACGTCAGCGTAGATCAATCACGGAGCGGCGTTGGAGTTTAGGCGCACTTGGGGTCGATGATCGGTGCATCCCAGACGCTATTGGACTTGATCATGATCCGGCCTCTGCTCTCTGGCTTCAGTGCTACGGCTGCGAACGTCACACCTTCCGTTCCTGTTGTCGGCTTTGGGAAGCCATCTCCAAAGACCGCCTGGGGAACCCAGCGTATCTCTAAATCAGGAGCCCCTGGTCCAGAAGAGTGGTCGTTCACTGGGGCCCCTGCATTGCCGTTCGGGTAGTAGGGAAGGCTACGGGTGTGATAGCGTGAAACACTGCACGAGAGGAAGACGGGAATGAATGGACCCACGCGTTGTCTGTAGAACGAACGAACGCCGTCGACGAGTAATCCAGAGACGCGTATGGGCCCGTCCCAAAGAAGCGCCATTTGAGCATCTCGAACGTACTAGAGAGCGTGCCCCTGAGGAAGTCGTATGTGAGACTTCCCGACTTGACCCGGAAGGGTATTGGTCCAGACGAAACGTGCTGCGATGCACATGGCAGATCTCAGACGCCGCTGAAAAATTGCATGACAAGATGAAGCACACGTACGTCAATCACGTTCCGTCCTACCGTAGGCAGGTCCTTGACGACCGGGATACTGAGCCTCTGGAGATCCTGTGCAGGGCCGACGCCGGAGACCATGAGGAGCTGGGGCGTGGCAACAGCTCCAGCGCAAAGGATGACTTCGCGATTGACCCCAGTGCAGTATAGCTGGGCGTTGCGGCTTGTCCTCATCTCCACGCCAATCACCTTAGGTGGTTGGCCTGGAGGAGTCACGTCGGAGAACACGAGCCGCTCGATCATGATTTCAGTAGAGACAGTCAGATTCGGCCTATTGAGGACTTTGTCGCTGAGATAGACTGTCGCAGTGGAGCTTTCTACAACCGAGTCAGAAACTCGAGCAATTGAACCAGAGAATGAGGATTGAGCTCACTTCGCCCATTAGAGTCAATAGTCCCCAGAAGTTGCGTGACGCCGAGATGACCTCGACCGGCGTTGATGTCCCTGCATGATGATTGATGAGACACCAAAGGAGCAGCAAGAGCGGACCTACTCGATGCTCCTCATGCCGAGCTCCCTGCATGCTTCGGCGACGTAGTCATTGATAGGCTAAACCGATATCACAAGGACGAACACAATGACAGGTGCATGTTTTACTTACTGCCGTCTCCGATGGATAGCTTGTCTGCCAGGGTCCGTACGCTCCATGGTTAGCGGGATTGACTCCGGGATGCTTAGAGCTTTGATGGAAATGCTCCGCTTTCAAGAAGTACCTGTAGTCATTGAGCCACATTCCAGCCAACACAGGGGCCCATAGCGTACGTACGGGTTCAAATCCGCATACGACCATCCTTCGGCTCCGAGAGAGACCCACTCGTTGAAGTCTTGACCATAGTGTCACAACATGCGCGACTACAAAAATCATCTACTCACCTTCGGGACAGCACCGATGGTATATCGAAGCATTCGTCGCGCTATGTAATCCACGCCAACTGAGACGAGAATGGGAAGCCAGCAAAGACGACTATACCTTGTTCCCCCCAATATTTTCCCTCTCGGCCAGTACGTCTCACGATTATCCAGATATCTCTGCGGGCTGTTTTGCGGAAATGAGAGGAGCACAATGCAACGTACTCAGCAGCGTACACGGTGTATGAGTCCCAGTCACGCTCAGTCCGGAACAGGTTGGCAAACATGAAGGGGATCTTGGTGGGCACGTCTCCCTGGAAGCTTGTAGAGTGTCATGAATAGCAGGAACAAGTCAACCACGCTGTACGTACTCCTTGCCGGCTTCAATGAGCAAAACCGTTGTGTTGGGATCCTCCGACAGTCTAGAGGCTAGTATGCACCCAGCCGTACCTGTGCATAGTCTGCTTAGCCCTTTGGCCGCATAAGGGATAAGGCGGCTGCAGAAAAGATGGACCTCCTCCGACGATGATGTAGTCGTGTCTAGGCCATGGTTTGGGTTCTCCTGGTGGTAGTGGTCCTGGTACCGCTATAAAACGTGTATCACCTCCTGGGGCGCGTGACGAAGCCTGACCCATGGTGTGAAAGCAGCTGTAAGGATTGCACTAGGCTTGTACAGATGGTACTGGTAGCGTCATGAAGGGGACTCACGCCAACTACGGGCACTCTCCCTGCTTGTTGATATGGAGTCCGAAGCACGGCCGCGAAACTCACCGGGAAGCCGCCGAAACTTTATGGGGGCAAGCGCCGTGGTACAGATAATATAAGTAATACGGAGGCTAGCATGCATGTGTCCTCAATACCCCCGAAGGAGCACGCAGGGAAGTTCAGGGGATAGGGCAGTGGCTGTCGCCGAGGTGATGATTGGGTGCGTAAAGCAAGCGCAAGTCATTACTGGGCTTCCACAGAGCGAACCAGATCGATTCTGTGTGCATACCGGCGCTGAAGTTTATGTAATTCATATCGATATCGCAAAGCTGTGAAAGACGAGCCACAGGGCACGGCGGGCGAACGCGCGCAGATGCGTGCGACGAGCAGTGCTGCTACCCTTGATGGGCCTATGTTTGTGTTCCTGCCATGGCCAGGAGCTTTCTCCCCCATTGCTTGCTTCATATGAGCTCAATAGTAAACCTGAAGTCTGCCGCGATATCACGAAGGTGCGAATGACGCACTTCGCAATCACGATCACCCGCCGGATGGTTCCAGGCAAGATGACAGATATGATACACTGCCGTGCGTGCGGTGATGATCGTCAAGCTTTGGCGCACTCACTGTATGATGTCGCGAGCAGTGTTCATCAAAAGAGCTGGTACTGTGACACGCGACGGAGCGCTTCTGATCACGGACGCTGCCGTCAATACCGTCCGAGTGTGGGACGACCGTTCTCAGGCTATTCTTTCGCCATATGAATCAGAATTCGTTCCCTGGCAGTGCACTCGCTGGATCCTCTCAAATACATCGTGGTGTAGCGAGACAGCCTCAGGCAGCGCCTTTCCGGTCCACCAAGCGAGGTCTGGTACTTCCTTCTGTTATTTCTATGTCTTCAGTATCGGATGCGGAATACGCGTAAGTGAGATTCTCAGTTGAATCCCATTCACGTTGACAAGTTCCACAGTTTCGTTTTGCAGGTCTACACGTATTCTGGCTTAGGTACGTCGTCGAAACGCTCGGTGATGTCGGTGTAGTAAAGCCTTTATAGCGCTGCTTCTGTACGATACACTGCTCACTTTTGATCGTGAGATGCGCTTCATATGGGTTCGCGGGCGAGCCCTTATGACTGTGCTACTTGTGGCTATCCGATATGGTCAGGTCGCCAGTCTTATTCTGAATCTATTAGCGTTCGATTTCGGCCCGTCATCCGCTCAGGTGAGCCTACACCCTACAATGTCTCCCGAGATCTTACAAGAGAGTACCACAGATGTGGGTGAAAATGCAGGCGCACTCTGATGATCTATCGAGCCTTACATGTTTATAGGTGTACAACGCTCAGCGTGATATCCACGATCACTTTAGTGATCCCTTACTTGGGCTGGTCAGGTACCTCTCTGTTCATCTTATCGGCTTTGACCGCCTCTCCAACATGGTACTTTAGTTTTCCTGGGATGGAGAGCATACGCACTGTCCGCTCGCAATAGTCTCGTTGCCTTGTTTGCTTTCCTATGCAGTGTCTCATTTGCAGTTCCATCTCTGGTCAGTCCGTTCGCACATATCGATCAACCTGTTAATTTTTTGAAAAAATTCACAGGTCCCGCTGTTTGGAGCTCCAGCAAAATATGTCATTGGGGATATACCCGGTTGTTTCTCCGATTTGACTACGATTCGCCCTTTGCTGACACTACGGTAAGTCTGCTTTGATACTGTTCCTCGACTGGTTCCTCGCTCAAATGCTTCCCAGTAATGCTACTCTCTATCTCACCCCTACTTGCAAGGTCATCTAACCCTCTATATTTCAGTGTTGGGTGTATCACGACCTCTGGCTTTGGTGGCCGATTTGGTCGTTCTGGTTTTGACTTGCCTCAAGACACGTAGGGAATGGCTCTCGTCGAAGACCGTCAATCCTAGAGCTTCTCTTGCTAACGCTTTGTTTGTGAATGGTGCGAATAATATCATCGTTCAATGTCTGATTACACATTAAACACCGATGTAGGGGTCATTTTTGTCTCGTCAGCTCACGTCCTCTCTTTCTGTGTGGTATTCCCTCACTGAGTTAAGTTCAGCTTGACAACATGCATGCATGTCATCGCTATGATAGCGGCATTGGTAAGTAGGTACCTTCCCCCAGATCTCTGCCCCGATATAACTGTTGATTGACCTAGGACGAGGCGCTGAGCACTAGCAAATTTGGGCAGTTCAGCCTCCTCAGAGATGTGTTCGTGGCACCCACCGCGATCATGTCCTGCTGTTTCCTAACATGGCCGCTCGCAGCTTCGTGTCCATCGTTCTCTCACGGTTCATTCTGGATCTTGCTGCTGTCGGGCCAGAAAAGGAAGGGGCGACCCCTGCACCTCAAGATGTCCTCACAACGCATTGGACGCACGACGGGTCTGACGTTCTCTCTTTATATTCTCTTGAAGAGGATTACAACGGGAGAGGATTCGACAAGGATTTTGAAGACAGCGACTTTGAGGCCTCCCATGTAGCAGGAGTATGAGACGGATCAATCCGGGGCTTCCGAAAGCCCGCAACATGGCTCAGCATCGAGGACCTACTCCACAAGGCATCGCCTCCTGCCGCTCATTAAAGGTCCCACTCATTTACGTAGCATAAAATGACATTTTGTGATAAACTCCGTCCATACCCGTCAGGATGGGCTGCACTATCTTCCACCACTTACGCTCCCCACAATTGTCGATCGAATCACAAGCAATAACTCATCCTGACGCACTTCTACAGCACCTGTCTACGTGTCTTGTCATGTTACAGTCATTGGTTGTGAAGGACTGTCTCCTGAGTTCTAGCTTGAAGACCTCACGTATTCCGCATGATGACGCCACGGTGAACATTTCTTCCTTCAACTTGTCTGAACCCGAGTTCTAAATATCCGGTTCCGTGAACTTAGAACCCATTCGCGATACATAGGTCGCTATATGGAGAGAGCCAGCACAAGTTCCTCCCTCTATACCCAGACCTGTTGCATCCGAGCTTGCGCGGGAGTCCTCTCAGAAACGAACAAACGGGAGCACTCGAAACGTTCAAGGAAACGCACACAGATTACTTCTCAGGCTCTTCCACCGCGCTCCTTCGCTCACTAGTGCATGTGCGGCCAGAGGATCATGAATGACAGAAAGGTGGTGTACACCCGAACCGCAAAAGGAACGCGCGAGCCAGAAGAGGCGGTATAACTAGACGCGGCAAGACAGAAATAGCCTGGATACCTAGAGAGGACGAGCAGCTTCATTTGTTCAGCCAGAAGTATCATTGGGACAGGAAACACACAGTCTGCTAGAACTGGGTTTAGGGAAGCCGTGTCCAGTAGCAGCCTGTGGAGCCCAGGTCGGGTGAACCTGCGCTCCCATCCAGGTAGTACAAAAAAGGCTGTGAGGTGAAGTATTGAAACGCTGCGCACAAAGATAAGAGAAAGAAACGGACGCACGTGTCATCAGTCGAACTGATTCCGTCGACGGATACTTCATCGATGTGTATGGGCCTGTGCCGAAGAAGCGCTACCTAAAAATATCGAGCGTCCCGGAGAAGCAGCCCCTAAGACAGTCGTCAGTGGGGCCGGGTTTTGTGCGGGTTGGAATGTGTTCGGATAAAGCGAGCTCCGAGACCGATGACGGATATCAGACACAAATGAAGCAATTGGTAGAATGAAGAGACGCCCGACATCATGTTCCGCCCGACCACCGCGACCAGCCCTCTGCCTCAAGGGCCACCCATTCTTCGAAATCAGTGCTTTCGTGTTCCGAAAATTCCTGTGATTAACGGATCCCGTTCACCCTCCGCAGAACAACGATGGTGGATCGAAGCGACTGTCGCGCTATATGGTCGAGGTCAACTCATGCGGGAAGAGGACAGTGTGTATAGAAGACGTCTACCATGCTCCTCCTGGAACATCTGTCTTCGGCCAGTATGTCTCCGTGTCGTCCAACTTGTGAGGACATCGGAAGGGGGAAAGAACAGACATTATAGAATTAAAGTAGGTCATCCTTTTGGTGGGTATGCCGCGTTGAGACCTGGTGGACTGTTTCGGATACCGGACTATGAGAAAAGTGCTGTACGTACCTCTTGCCAGCTTCAATGAAGAAGACAGTCACACTGCGATCCACTGACAATCTGGAGCCGAGTACACATCCGGCTTGAACCTATATAGTCGTCCGACCAACCTCCTCCGATGACGACATAGTTGTATTGGGGCCACGGCGTTGTTCGTTTACCCGATGATGAGGCCATAGGAGCTAGAATCAAATGAAGGTCGTGATAACACCTGTTGGCTTTCCGGCAAGTCTTTGCCATCGATGAAATGTCTTCGTATAGAAACCTTGTACTCACCAGTTCGTACGCTACGCACTTGCAGTGAGATCCCTCGTTCGCCGCCTCTCTTTGCAAGTTAAATACGCCCTGCGGTTTCGCTCGGGCGGCTCTTGAGCACTACCCCGGATAGCTAGGACGGGGCTAAGTAGTCAGTGAAGTCGGAACTTGGAAGAGTAGCGCAGGTTTGCACGTAAGCGTGGCGTGGGCCGAGCCGAGCCGCGCCGTTCACGAAGCGCGCGTTCGCTACAGCCTTCCTCCGTCCCACTGGCAGTGGGCACACATTATATACGGTCCTATCCCGACGTGCGTCCTTGATTCCCACCGTCTCTGCCCGCCTGCTTCCTTCCGGCAGGTTCGACGTGCCCGCCAACTTCCTGAAGCTTCCTAGCGCAGCACTAGCTCCCCGCAACCTGGACATCTCACAATCTGTCCGTCCGCTAGAGTCAGAACACAAGGAAGTCGCAACAATCTATCCAAATCGCTGTGTCCAAAAGTCATGCACATCCGGGGAATTCCACACACCAGGATTGAATGCGTCACCACATAATTGCGTATCTTGAAGACGAACAAACATTCGGTAGGTAGATTGACCCTATGAGCCATCAACGACCGCGTGCTATCTAACGGTTCGTAAGACCTCTGTAGAGCACATGCATTCTGACCGAGCGGGTGCCGCACCTGTGCATGAGCTTCCTTCCAGAAATGAATCGCTACAGATGGTTACCGCTATAAGTGATAACCCGTTGCACTAGGGGGTTGCCTCTCACTTCAGCCGGAAGACCATGGACGACGGGTCGGTGATACGCCCATCCAGCAAGAGGCAGGCGCACGTCGTAAGGCGGTCTAACTGGATGCCTGACGACAAAAATAGCCTGTATGTTCAGATAGGACGAGTGGCTTCATGTTCTCAACACAATGGTTCGTTATAGAGGGAACCACGATAGAGGAACAGTCATAACATTCGGGGAACGCAAGACACGTGGAAGGCGCACGAAAGACATGCGGCAGAGAGACGTAGCAGGCACAGCAGATATCAAGCCATTGTGAGTCATTCATCGTTCACAGTGCGGGGACAAGGTGGAATACCAGGGACTCAGCTCAGGCCTGCGAAGCCTCGAAAGCCTTGATCATGTCCGCCGCCTTCTCGGCCATCGCGACGACGACCGCACACGGATGCCCAGACATTTGGGTGGGGAACACGGATGCGTCCACGCAGCGCAAACCAGCGATGCCGTGTACGCGCAGCGAGGGGTCCACAACGCTCTCGTCTGATGACTTGCCCATCCGAGCAGACGAGACCTGTGCATCCATCGTGTGTCGTGATCGCCATTAGGTGCAGTGCCAGACAAGAAAGGAAGCGAACGACGCAAAAGCGTAACTTCCATGAGCAACGGGCGGTAGAAGCTTAGCGGGGATACGTACCGGGTTCCAAGCTGGCACCGCAGTGCGGCGCAGCATCTCCTTAATCTCGCGGTCGGTGATCTGTGCCGAGCAGCAGCACTCAGCACGTTGGTCTGGGCTGCACCACCAAAGAGCGAAGGGTTAGTCACTCACCCTACTGGGGTCAGTTACGCCCGGCCATCACGAGCTCGACGGGTTTATGTTGCTGGGCTTCCGATCGAGCTTCGATGCCACCGGATCTGTATGCGCGATGCGGAGAAGGAGGCGAACACCGCGAACGAGGACGTTCACGTCGCACTCCGTTGACGGATAGCTATCGCAGCCGCAGCCGTATCACGTCAGCCCAAACCCACAGTAGAGCAGATTCCGATCCAAACGCACTTCGGGTCGATAAGGGGCGTATCCCAGATACTGTTGGACTTCAGCGTGATCTGGCCCCTGCTCTCAGGCTTCAATGCCACCGCTGAGAACGTCACCCCATCCGTGCTAGAATTAGATTTAGGGAAGCCGTGTTCAAAACAGCCTGTGGAGAGCCTGGACCAGGAGCGTGGTCGTTCACGCGCACGGGTGAACCTGCGCCCTCGTTTAGGTAGTACGTGAAGGCTGTGAGGTGAAGCAGTGAAACGCTGTGCATATTGAGAAGAGAAGGAAACGAACGCACGTGGTATCCGTAGAACGCACCTTGATGCCGTCGACGAATACTGCGTTGACGCGTAGGGACCTCTGCCGAAGAACGCCACCTGGACATCTCGAGCGTCCCCGAGCTCAAGCCCCAAAAGAAGTCGCAAGTGAGGCCGGGCTTCGTGCGGAATGGAATACATCGCCGGACGAATTGTATTGCGATTGGACATATGGATGGAATATATCACAAACATCAGACGAAACTGAAGCAGTTGGCAGATTCGAGGAGACGCACATCGATCACGTTCCGTGCCACATCCGGGAGGTTCTTCACGACCGGAATGTTGAGCTTCTGGAGGCCTTCCTCAGGGCCCACCCCGGAAAGTATGAGAAGCTGCAGCGTCCCGACAGCGCCCGTGCAGAGAATCACTTCGCGGTTCACTCCAGTGAAGTAGAGCTGAGTGCAGTAGAGCTGAGCGCTGGGCCCTGTCCCCAACTGGACGCCAATGGCACGAGATGACTAGCTTAGAGGAGTCGTATCCGCGAACACGAGCCTCTCTATCATGATCTCGGTGGCGACAGTTAAGTTCGGCCTTTTGAGCATGTCGTCTGTAAGACAAGCTGTCCCTGTGAAGTTTCCTAGGCTGATTTCAGTCATCTTGAATTCAAGAAATTCTAAAGAAAGTGGAGATGAAGCTCACTTCTACGATGCGGGTCGACAGTACGCATGAGTTGTACGACACCAAACCGACCGCCTGCGTTTATGTCGCTGCATTGCGATCAATCAGACGTCGGATAGGCAGCGACGAAAGATGCACTCAATGTCTTTCAAGCCTTCTTCCTTGAAGGCTTCGATGGCATAGTCATTGATAGACTGGCGAAAGGTTTCAGTAAGACACTGTTAGGGCAAAGCGAAGTGTCGTAATCACCGCAGTCTCCCATGGGAAGCCCGTCCACACAGGGTCATACGCTCTATACTTTGAGGGGTTCACCCTGGGATGCTTGAGACTCGGATGAGATTCCTCCTTCTCCAAGAAGTACCTGCAGAGATTGAGACGAATCCCAGCCAGAACAGAGACGAGAATTCGGGCGTACAGGTTGAAGTCCGCTTGCGACCAGCCTTCTGCCTTAAGAGCCATTCATTCGTCGAGATCTGTGCCTCCGTGTTACAAGCGATACCAGCATAGACGAGCCCGCTCACCATCGGGGGAGCGCATAGAAGCACCCGCCGTGCTATATGGCCGAGGTCGACTCAGGCCGGAAGAGAACAGTATGTACACAAAACAGTTACCTCGTTTCTCCTGAAGTGTTTGGCTTCCGACAGTGCGCCTCCATATTGTTCAGCTACCTCTGCTGAAGTTGAAAGAGGAAACGACAGATATATTAGTGAAAAAGCATCTGGGAGGGGATATCGCCTTGAGTCCTGGTAGAATGACCAGAATGGCGGTCGAGGTGGAATGTATTACCTCTTGCCAGCTTCGATGAGCCGGACCGTCACCTTGCGATGCTCTGACAGTCTGCAGGGGAGTACGCATCCGGCTGTACTGGACGACTTTCCATAAGGATCTACGGCTCTACGGACGTCCGTAGTCTATGCACGCTATACTCGGGCAGGACGGAAAACGATGGTATTGGGCGCGCGCTACGGAAGCTGCGCGGGACCACCGAGTCCGTGTCGCCACCGCTCTCTCGCGCGACCGGTGGGCCGAGCTCAAGCCGGCGGAAGGCGAATGTACCTGATACATGAGACGTAGCTAAGCGAGACCAAAAATGGGGCAGCGGAAGGGTGGGTGCAAAAACGAAAGCTCGAGGAGCGCGAGCTCCCGAAGGGCGAGGGGACGAGGATCCTGGGCTGCGAGCCCTTAACCTATATACTACTAGAGACAAAGCAGATGTAAAGCGGCGAGGGGGTGGCACGAGTTACGCTGTCATAGACCCTGGACAATAATCATTGTCCAAAACAATTTCTAGGCGGGGTTTGAAACAGTCTGTGGATCTTGGGCGCTAAACAAGCGGCATGTTATGCTCATCATCAGCACGTGACTGGAGTGGCTTATGTCATGTCTGTATTTGGCATGCAGTTCGCTTTGTCATGATGGCTCCTTCCTTTCTCGTGGTCACGGCACCGTATGCCGAGGTCTACGGACTGTCTACGGCCTGTTAGAGATTTAGAAAGGGGGGTCGGACCCCCCTCCTAGATTTTGACGTCCGTATCCTAAATTTCATCAGCGGAGTTCAGATCTGGTGTCGGCAACACTGCCCCTTGCCCAAATCGGTCTGTTTAGAGATTTACGGACGTCCGTAGAGCCGTAGATAGCTTATGGAAAGTCATCCACTATATAGTCGGCGAATCAACCTCAGCCGATGGCGATGTAGTTGTATTCGGGCCACGAGTTTTGTTCCTCCGGTGGTAGAGGGACAGAAGCTTAAATTGAAGGAGAATCACCTCCATCTAGACCTCTGGTCGTACGTGATATGGCCCTTTAGCTTTCCGGCACTTCGTGGGCGATCATGCTCGATCTTTGCCGTCATCGATGTTTTCGTATGGAAGCGCTGTACTCACGGATTTGTACGGTACGCGTTCACAGCCAGATCCTTCCTTCGCCGCCTCTCTTCTCCAGCCAAACGTGGCGGGCATTCTCGTTCGCGCTCTTGGGCATTACCCATAGTATATTAGTGTAGTAGTTGGAAGAGTAGCACAGTGTAAGTACAGCACGGCCCGAGCCGAGCCGGGCCGAGCTGTTCCCGAAGCGCGCGTTTACCGGCACCTTTGGACCACGCATTCTATCCCATTCAGGTCCTCAGCCTCAGCACCCACCTAGCTCCCTTGCGGCAGGTGCAACGTGTCCGCCAACCTGAACCTTTCTGACCCAGAACCCTGCGCATGCGCTGTCTACAACTTGAAGTCGCTCACATGCTAGACTCAATACACGGACGTCGCTGTGTCTCGCAACGATGCACATCCAAGCACCACTACACAACATTATTGAATGCGTCATCGCATAACTGCTCATCCATCAAAAATGATCCACCAGAAACATCTCGCCTCGAAGCCAAGCTCCGTCCAATGAACGCTGGTCGTCCCAGCTTGAAGGGGAACGCATGCAATTCGTCCACGTGCCACGCAATGGTTCGTAACAACTCTATCAGCACGGGCTTTTTGACTGAGGGGGTGCCGCACCTGTGTGAAAGTTTCCTTCCAGAAGTGAATCGAGTGATAACCCGTTGCACTAGGGAGTTGCCCCTCACTTCAGCCGGAAGACCCTGGACGACCGCTCGATGACACGCCCAGACAGCCAGAGGCACGCGCACGTCGGAAGGCGGTTTTACTGGATGCCGGACGACATAAATAGCCTGTAGGTTCAGATAGGACGAGCGGCTTCAAGTAACCAAGAAAACGGTGCGATATAAAGGGAATCATAAGAAACGTACAGTCCTAACATTCGGGGAACGCAAGACACGTGGAAGGCGCACAAACGATATGCGGCAGAGACACGTAGCAGACACAGGAGATATCAAGCCATTGTGAGTCACTCATCGTTCGCAGTGCGGGGACAAGGTGGAATGCCAGGCACTCAGCTCAGGCCCGCGAGGCCTCGGAAGCCTTGATCATGTCCGCCGCCTTCTCGGCCATCGCGACGACGACCGCGCATGGATGCCCAGACACCTGGGTAGGGAACACGGATGCGTCCACGCAGCGTAGGCCGGCGATGCCGTGCACGCGCAGCGACGGGTCCACAACGCTATCGTCTGGCGACTTGCCCATCCGGGCAGACGAGACCTAAACGCATCATGTGTCGTGCGCCGTTCCGTAGGACCAGACCAAGAAGCGTGCCAAGTACATCATCCTATAAGCAGCATACAGGAAAAGCAGAGCAGCAATACGTACCGGGTGCCAGGCCGGCACGGCGGTGCGGCGCAGCATTTCCTTTATCTCGCGGTCGGTGATCTGTGCAGTGTGCCAGCGCAGTAGCAGCAATGTTCAGCGTGTTGGTCTAGGCTGTGCGAACAACTAGCATGCGGATGAGCACTCGCCTTGTTTGGATCGGCCACCCCAGGCCACCACGGGCTGGACGGGTCGATAGAAGTAGCCTTGAGGTCGAGCTTTGATGCTACCGGATCCGTGTGGGCGAGGCGGAGAAGAAGGCGGACGCCGCGAACGAGGACGTTCATGTCGCTCTCGGTGGACAGATAGCTATCACCGTGATACCATGTAAGTGCATATCCAGGCTACAAAGCGTGCAGCGTTTCGACGTACTTCGGGTCGATGATAGGCGCATCCCAGACGCTATTAGACTTGAGCGTGATCTGGCCCCTGCTCTCAGGCTTCAATGCTACCGCTGAGAACGTCACCCCATCCGTGCTAGAACTAGGTTGGGGGAAGCCGCGTCCAAAAACGGCCTGTGGGGACCACAGTAGCTCCAGGTCGGGCCCCCCTGGGCCGGAAGCGTGGTCATTCACGGGTGCACCGGCACTCCCGTCCACGTAGTAGGGAAGGCTATGCGGAGATACGGTGAGACCCTGCGCAGAATGGAGCCAGAAGAACGGAAACGTACGCGCTATCCGTAGACCTGACGAATGCCGTCGAAGAGTATTGCATCGACGCATAAGGGCCTGTCCCGAGGAAGCGCCATCGGAGCATCTCGAGCGTTCCAGAAATCAAGCCCCGGAGGAAGTCGTAGGTAAGGCCCGGCTTCGTGCGCACAGGAATTGGGCCAGACGAAACATGCTGTGGACGTGAAAATTTTTAAGACGCAGTTGAAGCACTTCGCACGATCAAGGAAACGCACATCGATCACGTTTCGCCCCACCGCAGGCAGGTTCTTAATGACAGGAATGTTGAGCTTTTGGAGATCTTCTTCAGGGCCCAGGCCGGAAAGCATGAGAAGCTGAGGCGTGCCAACCGTACCGGCACAGAGGATGACGTCGCGGTTCACCCCAGTGCAGTACAGCTCGGCGTTTGGTCCCGTCCGCAGCTCGACACCGACCACCTGGGGCGGCTGACCTTGAGGAGTAGCGTCGGCGAACACGAGTCTCTCGACCATGATCTCGGTGGCGACAGTGAGATTCGGTCTCTTGAGTATCTCGTCTGTGCAGTAGGCAGTCCGAGTGGAGCTTCCTGAGTCCAAATCAGAAATTCGGACTGTCCAGAGCTGCGGTACAACTCACTGCGACCATCAGAGTCAATAGTCCCGAGGAGTCGTGTGACTCCAAGCTGGCCTCGGCCTGCATTGATATCGCTGCAGGATGATCAGTCCAACATCGTGGGAACAACCTGGACGAGCGTACTCGATGTTCTTCATGCCTACTTCCCTACACGCTTCTATGATATAATCGTTGACGGGCTAGACAGATTTGAGTGAGGTACACTCAGAGCGCACTGTCTTATTCACCGCTGTCTCCAATGGGAACCCTGTCTGCCAAGGACCATACGCCCCATGGTCTGCGGGATTGACTCTAGGGTGCTTGGGGCTTGGGTGAAATGCTTCCGCTTTCAAGAAATACCTAAGGACGTTGAGAATCGTCTGCCTGCATGATGCAGGAAACGTTCACGTACGGTTTCAACTCCGCATATGACCAGCCTTCTGCTCCGTTGGCCACCCAATCATCAAAATCTGCGCACTGATGTTAAAATGACCTCATTCGCGGACGGAATTCGTTCACCTTCGGGAAAGCACCGATGGTAGATTGACGCATTCGTCGCACTAGGTAGCTGATATCAACTACGGTACAACAGAAAGTGGACGAAGACTACTGTACCTCGTTCCTCCCAGTAGCTTGCCTCTCGGCCAATATGTCTCCCTTCCATCCAAGTGACTTTGAGGGCTGTTTTGGGTAGGACATAAGACGAAGGAAAATGAAAACAAATCAAGGCAATATACATCGTCTGTGAGTCCCAGTCACGCTTGCTCCGAAAGAGGCTGGTAAATGCGTACGGAATCTGAGTTGGTACGTCCCCCTGAGAGCTAGTGGCGTTTTTTAGATGTAGGGAGTTCGGAAAAATTGGTGTACGCACTCTTTTCCAGCTTCGATAAGCAGAACTGTGTTGTTGGGATCCTCCGACAACCTGGCGGCCAGGACACATCCTGCTGTGCCTACGTTACTTGTCATCAACGTATTCGTCATGCGTTGAAATAGTGTCTGCTCACGAACCTCCTCCAATTATGATGTAGTCATATTTCGGCCATGGTTTGTCTTCGCGTTGTTGCGATGCTACGGGAACGGCAATGAGACGAGGATTGCCCGGTTGTACCTGGGAAGAGGAGTGGCCCATGATTCGAGCACAGTGATGGTGTTGTCACTAGTATTTGAGAGTATGCGAGGTCAGTGGGAGGCGGAGGAACCTACGACGACAGGATTGGAAGAACAGCATAATATGGAATGGGAGGTAGTCGCGGTAACTTACTTGGGCGCTTAAGAACTCGATACCATTAATGGCAGCGAAGCACTCCAGACTCGACCTAAGTCAAGTCGCAAGTACGCCCGCTGAGCTGTAACACACGACGGGCATTGGCCAATGCCCCGGACCCAAACTGGGACAGAGAAATGGCCTGGGAATGGATGCCTGTCACAGGTGATGTCCCAAAGCCTAGCTCCGGACCCGAGCCAGCCGGCGCTCTGATACCAGAAACAGGATGTTGGCGCTCGAGACCATCCAAAAAAGGAGCAAAACCGCTGATGTCATATGGTTTGTCAGCCTCAATATTCCTTTCTGGTATTAG